CTTTAGCCACAGCCCATGGCTCGCATGGGAGGGGGTGGCACTGGCCTGTGAGACCCCGCTGTACCCCCTCTTGTGCCCCCAAAACCATGCGCCCAGAGCAAAGCCCTGAGCCATTTCCCCGGCCAGGAGCCCTGGGCGCAGGGGCTGGGGTGTCTGCAGGCAGGATCTGTCCCCGTCCCACACCAGCAGCCATTGCACTGCTCTCTCTTGACAGGGAGCAAGCCTTGCACCTTCATTGTAGCGAAGCAGGCTCCTGAATACAGGGAAAAAAAAGAGAAAGAGTGGTTTCTGCAGGCATGAGCGACCACAGGCGTTGCCATGCCTTGTGTGTTTCCAAGCCCCCTTTTTAAGTGGGGCCCCTCCGCAGGGTGTTTGGGAGCGCACACGCGTGCAGCGGGGTCCCGTTTCCCTGCTGGAAGGGGGTCCCAGCAGCCCACGCAGGGACATGCCCGGGGCTCGCTCCAGCCGCCGCGAGCTGCTCAGCCCCTTGCATAGCACCCGGAGATGCCGCTACCGCCAGAACGGTGGTGAGGCCCCGAGCTGGCCTGGGGTCCCCTGCCCGCACCAGTGAGGTGTTTTTGGGATTTGCAGGTGGAGATGTCCTACGTGAGCTGCGCCCTGCGGGCGGCCGCCCCCCGCCGCCTGCCAGCCCCCTGGAGAAGCCCCCGGCCCTTCAGCAGCACAACGGGCCCCATTTTTTTTTAAAGAGCGTCCCATCCCAGAAGACGCTGAAGGAGGAAGGCTCTGGGAACAAGGAGCCCAGCCGGCCTCCACCGCCCTCGGCCGAGGTGGTGGTGGTCGGGGGGGGCAGCCTGGGCTGCCAGACCACCTACCACTTGGCCAAGCAGGGTGTCACCAGCGTCGTGCTGCTGGAGAGGGACCGCCTGACCTCGGGCACCACTTGGCACACGGCCGGTGAGGCGGCGGGCACAGCGTGGGTGCTCCCTGGGGCGGGGGCGGCGGGCGCGGGGATGCCCACGGCTTGGGATGCGCCGTTGCCCTTGGAGCGGCTCCGTTGCGCGGGCTGGCTCCGGATGTGCCGGAGAGCTTTGGCTTTAAATGGGGAGAATTGCAGGGTTTCTGTTTTTCCTTTTGGCATAACTTTTTGTTAAGAAACCATCCCCCAGATTTTCTTTTTTTTTAAAGTTTTACATGACCACAGGAAAATGAAACAGTTTATTTCCACGCCTTTTTTTTTTTTTTTTCCTTCTTTAAGCCAATGCTCTTTGGCAGGGAGGGGGGAGCTGGAAGAGGTGAATTCGGTAAGCTTTTGGGGGGGTTGTCTCTTTTGGGGTAGTCTGCTCCAGATTTTCCCTTTTCTCCCCATTTTTCCCATTCATTTAATGCCCGAGGGAAATAGAAATCCAGCCTTTGTAGCGCTCCCACGTCGCCACGAGATGGAGCAAGAGCTCCGGGCAGGGCGACCCACGCCACGCGTGGGACGGCGGGGCCCCCTCTGCACCCTGCAACGGGGCGGGGGGGTGGCGGAGCCGCCTGTCCTGTCCCACCCGTGGGCTCCGTGTCCCCAGGTCTGCTGTGGCAGCTGCGTCCCAGCGACGTGGAAGTGGAGCTGCTGGCGCACACGCGGGACGTGGTCAGCCGGGAGCTGCCCGAGGAGACGGGGCTGCACACGGGCTGGGTGGAGAACGGAGGGCTCTTCATCGCCTCCAACAAGCAGCGCCTCGATGAGTACAAGAGGCTCATGTCGGTAGGGAGAAGCCCCTCGGTGTGTCCCCCGGCCGGCTGGGAGGCAGGAGGTGGTCTTTATCTCCTGCCCACGGGAGCAGGGCTGGGGGTCCCAGGGCTGCGGAGCCCCCGGGGCTGCGAACGGCCCATCCCTCCCTGCCTTCCCACCCGGAGAGCTGCGAGTGGCCTGGGGTGAGCTTCCAGGGCAGCCTCCTGCCTTCCCTAAGGCTGCTGAAATCAGGCAAAATGCTGGCAAAGTAGGCAAAATTAAATCCAGCCGTGGATTTTTGCCAGTTCAGATAGTGGTTGCATCGTTTTCCCAGTTGCACAGGAGCGGTAGCATCATTCTTCCAGCTGCACAGGCAGCTTGCATGCGAATACGGGACCATATTCCCTGAAACCTGTGCAGACCATCCCACCCCGTGCTAGATTTAGGGCTTGCCTTGCTGCGGCAGTTGCCTCATCTGGGAAATAAACACGTCCTGGGGCTCCCCTTCTCCTCCAGCAGCAAGTGAAGAGCAAAGCTTTTGTTGCCTGCTTGAGCTCCCGGTTTTCTTGTCCGGTTGGCAGCTGGGGAAGGTGTACGGCGTGGAGTCCTACGTCCTGACCCCATCGCAGACCAAGGACCTGTACCCGCTGATGAACATCGACGACCTGTACGGCACGCTATACGTCCCCAAGGACGGCACCATGGATCCAGCTGGTACCTGCTCGACTCTTGCCAGAGCAGCAACTGCCAGAGGCGCTACGGTAGTTCCTAATTAGTAATTACTCATTAATGCCTGTTGACCATGGGAGATTTCATCCTCTGCCTTCCCCATCTCCTCCTTTCCCACTGGAGCAGAGCTGCTCCTGCAGCATCAGGTCTTTGCCCAAGACGGGTTCCACTTTGATGGCTGTTTGGGTCACAGCAACAAAGCTGGCAGGAACCATGAGATCCAGGGAAAATATAGGATGAAAAGAAGACCTTTAGGAGCAAGACAAGGCAGCACCCGAGGCAGGTTCCTCGGGAGAGCAGAGGTTTTAGGGTCAGGTAACACAATCCATTCCTCAAGACTACCAGTCCATCCTTGGTGCATTGCTTTGCTCATGTGCGTGTGAATAATAAATATCGTCTGCAGCTGTGGGAAGCACAGAGCAGCAGTTTAAGCCTGCAGCTGAGGAGGGGTATGTTGTTATCAGCAGTAACAGTAATAGCTGTTGGGAAAGGGAGATGGCCATTGCCAGACCGCTGCTTGGATTCACCTTTCCCAGATTTGGGGGCTAGATGTCAGGCGAGCTGGGTTGTGCCCTTGTGACCCTGCCGTGACTCTGCTTCCCTTCCTCTGCCACCAGATCATAGAGAACTGCCCGGTCACTGGCATCCAGGTCAGAGCTGATGATTTTGGGGTGAAGAGGGTGTATGCAGTGGAGACGGCCCACGGGACCATCCAGACTCCCTGCGTGGTGAACTGCGCAGGTACAGGGCGCAAAGCACGGCAGGGAAGGTGGGGGACCGGGGCTGCGGCCGCAGGGCAGGGGGTGGCTTTGCATCCCGTGAGCCGGCGGGGCTGGATCAGTCCTTGTCCCCCCCCATCTGGCTGTCACCCCCAGACCACCGCAGGTCTCCAGAGGACAGAGAGGTGCTCAGCACGGGGCTGCTCTCTCCGCAGGTGTGTGGGCACGAGCCCTGGGCCGGCTGGCCGGCGTCCACGTGCCGCTGGTGGGGATGCATCACGCCTACGTGGTGACCGAGCGCATCGAGGGCATTCAGGTCAGTCCCACGCGGCTGCGGATCGGCTCCTCTGCTCTGGAGAGCAGCACGGGTTCCTGCCCCCCTGGACAGACCCCCCTGGCTCCCCCAGACTTGCAGGAC